GGCCTGGTGGGCCAGGATGTGCACCAGTCTCTCCTCCCCTGTGGGTTTCTAAGACTATAACTCTTCATGGGAGTAGAAAGCTCTGTCTTTCTTCTGCTGAGCTGGCTCATGGTTTCGAACTGCTGTCCTTGCAGTGAGCTGCACTTAAAACCAAAGTCCCCCACACCTCACCCCCTCCTTGTTAATTACACCTTGAAAGCTAAATGGATAGATTTCAATGCTGGTGAGCACCACAGAATATCAACCATGATTTCCAGTTGAGAAGAGAGGCCCTAGGGACACCCCCAACTCATTTCATTTGAGGACCCCCTCAGAGCCCTGGTGGTGTAAAGGTGACGTGCTGGGCTGCCAACCACAAGGTCAGCAATTCAAAACCACTCGCTGCTCTGTGGGAGAAAGAGGCTATTTGCTACTCCAAAATGAGTTTCAGTCGTAATTGGACATCCCCTCACAGAAGGGTCACAAGGAAGAGAAGATCCAGTCAGGGTGCAGTATAGCACCGATGAAACATACAACATTCCTCTAATTCTTTCATGCTTCCTGCCCCCCACTATCATGACCCCAATTCTACCTTACAAATCTGGCTAGACCAGAGCATGTACATGGTTACAGATAAGAGCTCAAATCCCAGGGAATCCAGGACAGATTAAACCCCTCAGGACCATTAATGAGAGTAGCCATACCAGGAGGGGAAGGGGAAGGTGGGGGGAGAAAGAGGGAACTAATCATAATGATCTACATATAACCCCTTCCCAGGGGGACGGACAACAGAAAAGTGAGTGAAGGGAGACACCAGTTGGTGTAAGACATAAAAATATATATATAAATTATCAAAGGTTCAGGAGGGAGAGCGGGAGGGGGAAATGAGCTGATTTCAAGGGCTCAAGTAGAGAGAAAATGTTTTGAAATTAATGATGGCAACATATGTACACATGTGCTTGGCACAATGGATGGATATGTAGATTGTGATAAGAGCTGTAAGAGCCCCCAGTAAAATGATTTGAAAAAAGTAGAGTTTCAGTCTCAGAAACCCGGGGGTCGGAAGCCCCCAGGGACAGTTTGTGCCCTGGCCTGTAAGGCTGTCATGAATCGGAATTCGCTTGTGGGCAGGGCTTGTTGCATGTGTTCTCCCCAGCATCCACTGCATGCTTACTCTGGTTGAAGTTTACATAGTAAAACAGGGGTCCCTGATTTAAATAAGTAGCAATTACCGCAAAGAGTCTGGGTGAAGTATATTTTTGCAGCTTTTAACCAGCGATGGTGTGCTCTGCCTAGCTTGCTGCTGCTGGCTTTGTTGAACGTGGCACTGTTTGTGAAGCTGTCCAAGATAGAATATGCTGCCCAGTCCTTGTACCGCCTCCACCTCCCAGAAGACAAGTCTCGAAAGTAAGTCGTCTTCCCCCACCTGCCTTCTCCACGTGAATCCAGGAATTCTTTAGCCGGAGGGTCTTATTCCCAATTTCAGACACTTGGATCTACTTCATAGGCATGAACGGCTTGCTCTTGCTTGCTGCTTTGTGTGACTGCGTTTGGCTTGTGAATGTGATGGGAGCACAGAAGACTTCTGGAAAGCAGAAAAGCCGAGAACGGTTCTCCTGTTTGGAAGGTGGTGCTGCTCTTGCCAGGAGCCTTGGTGGCGCCGTGGTTAAGTGCCCGGCTGCTGCCTGCAAGTCGGGCGGGGAGCACCCACCAGCTGCTCCTCGGGTCCTGTGGCGCTCGGGTTCCCCCGAGGGTTATAGCCCCGGAAGCCCCGTGGGACCTTGCTACTCTGCCCGCGAGGGTCGCCTTGGGTTGGACTTGACGTGATGGCGATGGGTGTGGTTTTGGGAGGTGTCTGTGTTGTCCTTGCAGTTTGGCCTCCGCTATGGCGTCGAGAGCAGAAAATCCGCAAAGGAGCAAAGATCAGGCTGGTCGTCTAAAGGGCGTGCTCCGAGAATCCATCGTGATGCTGGAACAGGTAAGCAGTCCTGCCCCCCCCTCCGCCCTCCCTCCTTGGTACCTTCAAACCAGCATGAACAGCTGTTCTTTGAAGAAAGTCCTGCCCCACCCCCACCACGCCTCCTAGAGGAAACCAGCCTTGCCTGTGTGTGTCTTATGCACATAATGTCACTTGTAGCTGTCTGTCAAGTCTGTTTCTAGCAAAAACAAGGGAGCATATTCTACACATTTTGGTTGACCCTTTTGAATGAGTAGTATATTTGGAGGATTTTAGAGATCAGTGTGAGAGAGAGAGAGAGAGAGAGAGAGAGAGAGTGTGTGTGTGTGTGTGTGTGTGTGTGTGTGTGTGTGTGTCTGTGTGTGTGTGCACCTCATTCCCAGGTCAGTGTCACAGGTGCACCTGAACTTAGCCACAGGGAATGGCAACCCCCTCCACCACGCCCCCTCAGGTAATGTAGGAGGGGAGAAAAGCAAGGCCCAAGGGCAGTCGGTCTCTCCAGAGATAGCCTGTACTTTCTTTTTTTTTTTAATTTGACAATCAGTGTTTTCTTTTTAATCGTTTTATTGGAGGCTCATACAACTCTTATCACAATCCATACATAGATCAATTGTGTAAAGCACATTTTTTTTTCAAAGAAATAAAAGATGAGTTTAGCGCACATACAAAAACCAAAGCCACACTTTCATTGTTATATTAAGTGAGTATTGGTAATAAATGTAATACAAAATGCAAGAAATAACAAAAACCAGTTCCCAACATCAAATATTGTAGTTCACTGGGAAAGGACATGTTTCAGAGTATCTGAACATGAAAAACTTTTTACTCATATAGACCATGAAATATTAAAAACAAAGCAGAGCAAAACAAAACAAAAAAACAGGAATATATTTTGATTCAGAAATAATGTAAATTTTCAATTTGCCAAACAATAGCATTTCTTTTTTCCCCTGTTATCTTTTAATTTCATTTTTACATGAACTTTTTCTTATTTTCTTATTTATTTATCTATTTATTTATAATCATTTTATTAGGGACTCATACAACTCTTATCACAATCCATACATACATCAATTGTGTAAAGCACATTTGTACATTCATTGCCCTCATCATT